AGCGCTAAACCAGCGCTAAACCAGCGCTAAACCAGCGCTAAACCAGCACTAAACCAGCACTAAACCAGTGTTAAACCAGCACTAAATCAGCACTAAATCAGCACTAAACCAGCACTAAATCAGCACTAAACCAGCGCTAAACCAGCGCTAAACCAGTGCTATAACAAGCACTAAACCAGCACTATAACAAGCACTAAACCAGCGCTAAACCAGCGCTAAACCAGCGCTAAACCAGCGCTAAACCAGCGCTGGCACTTCCAAATCTCGCCCAGCAGGAAACCGGCCCATGCAAATCCCAGCTCCCTGTTTTAGGAAGACTCTCTGGACCACCAGGGATGAAATCCAGGTTTTTTTGGGCAGGGAATGTTTTTTTCGGGAAGCTGAGGCAGGTGCAGGATGGATCCAACCCCTTCCTGCCCCGGATCCGGCGAGGAAGGATGGAGGAGAGGAGCAGAGACGCTTAATTTGGGAATTTTGGGGGCTTTCCCGAAGTTTTAGTGGCTCCTGGCCGGGGTGGCTCCTCCAGATCCCAAATCCCACCGGGATCGGATCCACGGGGACTCCCTGCCCTGCTCCTGTCCCTTAAATCCAACACCCACCTCCCGCTTCCAGCCCTGGAGCTGAGGGGAGAGGGGGATTTGGGGCCTCCTCCATTATTTTCCAGGGAAGCAGGAGGCTTTTCCATCCTCCATTATTTTCCAGGGAAGCAGGAGGCTTTTCCATCCTCCATTATTTTCCAGGGAAGCAGGAGGCTTTTCCAACGGGCTGGGAAGACAACGGGAGCGCCCCAAGCTCGGGAAAAAACCCACCTTGGACAGAAAATCCTTCTTTAACCCCCCCCCCAGCTGTGCATCCCAGGAGTTATTCCAGCCTGGAATGTGTGTGTTTACGGCTTTTCCTTGGGAATTAACTGGGATGGGAAGAGTTTGGCCGCAGGGAAGCTCCGGCAACTAGAGGGGTTTTGGCAGGAATTTCATGCCCAGCACCCTCGGAGGAGACATTCCCAAAAATCCCGGTGGGTCCAAACACCCCCGAGAGCCAAATCCCGCGGGAACCAGGACGACCGGGAGGGGATTTCAGGAATTCCGAAGCCGATTTTAAAACATTTCGGCCCATTTCGCACCGTCCGACCCATTCTGGAGGGAAAAGAACCAGGGAAGAGGGAACCACACGAATCCCAACCACATCCGAGGCGATCCCGATGTTTTGCAACCCTCGGGAAGGTCCGTCCGTCTGTCTGTCCCGCCCGGAACAGGCCTGACCTGAGCCATGGGAGGGGGGAAAAATATCTCCCGAGGATCAGCAGCCGGAATTTTTGGGGATCGCCGGCGCTGGAGCCGCTTTATCTGCCCCAACCCCATTAACCGACGAGCCCAAACGCCGCGATCGCTCCTTATAAGGCTGGAAAAGCTGCCGGGAATTAGGAGACTCTCCTGGAGGAGACTCAGAGCTGAGTCACCGGCACAGGGGTTGAAAAAAAGGCGGCCCGACTCTCTTTTTTTTTTGGGGGGGAGGGAGATCCCAAAAGGTCCCCCCCAAAAATCCTCGAGCCCAGCCGGGCTCTCCCGGGCACCGCCGCCGGCTTCGCCCCATTCCCGGGAATCCGGGGCGCCAGGACGGCGCGGGGCCGGTTTTTTGGGGCGCCGCCAGCCCCACCCAGGGCCCGTCCCGGCCGCGGACGGCGCCGGGGAAAAACCCGAGGGAGACGAGGAAGAGAAAAAAAATCGGGACGATTCGCTCAAAATTCCAGGGGGGGAAGGAGCCGCTGCCCGTTTTTCCCATCGCCCCCCAATCCCTCTTTCCTTTCCGGGAGGGGCTCGAGGGGCGCGATACCCCCCAAACCCAGGTTTTTTTGGGGGCGGCCCGATGGCTCCGCGGCACCATGTGCCGGCCGGAATTCCCGGGATCCCTCGGGAAGCGCTTTCCCGGGATCTGCGGGGGACGGCGGGACCCCAGCGCGGACGCCGGGGGGTCCCTCGGGGGTCGCCCGGGGGGGTGGTGGGCGCGACCCCGATCACCCCCCCGGGGGAAGGCGAGGCCGCAAAGCCCCTCGAGGACCCCCCGAAGCCCCCCGGGGACCCCCCAGAACCCCCAAATCTCGGCGGGGCTCGGGGGGAGCATCGAGCAGCGCTCCCCGGGGTGGGGGGGGCGCATCCCCCTCCCCACCGAGGGGTCCCGGGAGGGGTCGCGGGACATCGAGGGGCACGGGGAGGGGGTCCGGGGGGGTCTCCTCACCGGGCTCTCGCCTTGGGGCCGCACGTCCAGCACCGCGCACCAACCCTTCAGCCCGTTCATGGCCCCGCCGAGATCTGCCCGGGCGCGACCCACCGCCCGCCCGCCTATACGGGGACACGCCCAGCTACGGGGGACACGCCCACCCACGGGGCCACGCCCCCAGGGCCACGCCCAGCACAGGTACCCGCCTGTGAGGTGGCCACGCCCACCCCGGGGTGGCCACGCCCGTGGCATCCCCAGGTGAGAAAGGCGGGTCCGGGCGCGCCGAAAGCCGCGCGGAAACGGTGCCAAAAACGGGCTAAAACCGAGCCAAAACTGCGCCAAAGCCGTGCCCAAGCCGTGCCAACACTGTGTCCACCTGTGCCAAAGCCGTGCCGAGCTCTGCCACGTGCTGATCGGCCAAACCCGGCCGTGCCAAAGCCACGTTTGGCCGGGCCCAGGCGTGCCAAATTCATCCCGAGCCGCGTCAAAGCTGTGCCAAAGCCCTGTCCAGCCCTTCCAAAGCCGTGCCCGGCCGTGCCAGCGATGTGCCAGCCATTCCAAAGCCATGGCAGAGCTGTGCTGGGCCGTGCCAAAGCCGTGCCAAGCCCAACCCAGACGTGCCAAAGCCATACTGAGCCACGTCAAAGCTGTGCCCGGCTGTGCCAAAGCCGTGCCAAGCCAAACAAGATGTGTCAAATCCACACTGAGCCACGTCAAAGCCATGCCCGGCTGTGCCAAAGCCGTGCCAAGCTCTGCCAAGCCACCCTCAGACACACCCGGTCGTGCCAAAGCCGTGCCAAGCCCAACCCGGCCGTGCCAAAGCCGTGCCAAAGCTTGTGCCAACCCACCCCGAGCCCCTCCACCCCCCGCCCCCGTGTCCAGCCTCACCAAACCGAGCCGTGGTGACGCCAACGCCGTGCCAAACCGCGCCGAGCCGTGCCAAGGTGCCCCAAATCGTGCCAGGGGCCGGCCCCCCCGCACCCAGGGGCCACATCCCGGTGTCCCCGCCCGTGTCTGTCCTCCCGCCCGTGTGTCCCCGGGAGTGTCCCCTCGTCCCTAATTGCCGCGGGTGGCCCGGGAGTGTCACCCCGTCCCTAATGAATTGCCGCATTCCCGCGGGATGAGCTCAGCCCGCCCCGGGCTCGGGGCACGTTCCGGCCCCGTTCCAGCCCCGTGCGGTCACCGGGGCTACGCTCCGGGTCCCCCCCGGGGGCCGGGACACGCCGGGGACAACCGCGGCCCCGGGCCCGGCGGGGTTTGGGGAAGCGGGATTCCCTGCGGGATGGAGGATGTGGCTCCCTCGGGGCCGGTAAAATTCCAGAACTTGGCAAATTCCAGCCCCTGGGAGGGTTAAAACTGTGCCACCTCCTCCCTGCGGGCACCACGGAGCCCCCCAGAGCTCTGCGGTGCCCACGGGGGACACTGAGGCACGGGGGGGACACCGGGGACTGATCTGGAAGGGTTTGGGAAGCGGGATGGATTCCCTGTGGGGTGGAGGATGTGGCTCCCTCGAAGTCGGGGCCTGGCAAACCCCACGGTGGGAGTTGGCACCGCGGGCACCCCCCTGAGCCCCCCCCAGAGCTTTGCAGCATCCGTGGGGGGACCCCGAGGCACAAGGGGGGCCGAGCAGCCACTGGGGACACCGTGGGCTGCCCTGGAGGGGTTTGGGCATCAGGATTGAGGATGGATTCCCTGCGGGATGGAGGATGTGGCTTCCTCAAAATCAGGGCCACGGTGGGAGTTGGCACCACGGGCATTCCCCTGAGACACCCAGAGCTCTGCAGTGCCCAGGGGGGGAAAACTGAGGCACAGGGGGGACAGAGCAGCCACTGGGGACACCGTGGGCTGCCCTGGAGGGGTTTGGGCATCAGGATTGAGGATGGATTCCCTGTGGGATGGAGGATGTGGCTCCCTCAAAGTTGGCACCGCGGGCACCCCCCTGAGCCCCCCCCAGAGCTCTGCGGTGCCCAGGGGGGGAAACTGAGGCACGGGGGGACCCCGAGGCACAGGGTGTGGCCCGCGGGTGACCCCGTCCCCGCCGCGCGTGGCCCGGGAGGAGCCGAGGGGCAGGACCGGGAGGAGCCGAGGGCAAGGACCGGTCGTGCCAGTCCCGGGGGAAAGAACCGCAGCGGGCACGGCCCTGGGGCGGGTGTGGGGTGAGGGGGGGGGGACGCGGTGACACGGCCGGCGCTGGGGAGGGGGGGGGGGGGGGGCCCCGTGCCCTCCCCCGCCGGCGGCATCCCGGGGGAACAGCGCCGGGATTTTTGGGAAGGGGAAACCGAGGCGGCAACGCCGGGTTTGGTGGGGTGGGGTCACCCCCCCAAAAAAAAACTCGGGGACGGAGCCAGCTCGGCCCCGCTCGAGGGGAACCGCGGGAAGAACCTGCCAATCAGCCGCTAATTAGCGACTGGCAGGGCTCCCGCGCTCGCTCGTTAATTAGCGATAACGAGGGTTTATCTCCGGGCCAGAGGCAGCAGCAGCGGAACACGCGACGGTTCCCCCGGCGCTGAAATGGGAGGGTTTATTTAAAACAAACAGCACAGGGAGGGGCTGCATAGAAAAATAAACCGGGGGGGGTCCCCGGACACCCCCACGGGACCCTGAACCCCCCCCCGTGGCCGCGGTGGGCACCGAGGGGACAGCGGGGGTGGCCTGAGGGTCCCTCACCCAGGGGACACCCAGGGGACACTCAGGGGACACCGGCAGGTCCCCCCCCCGGCCCCAAAACACACCCTGAGACCCGTCTGAAGACAAAGAGTGTCCGGGGGGGTCCCCAAGAGGTCCCCCAAGGGGTTCCCGGGGGGTTCTTGGAGGTTCCCACCCCTCCTTCTTCCTTCATGTCCTCGCAAGAGTTTTTTTTTCCTTGAGCAGCATCATCGTCATCCTCATCATCATCATCATCATCCACGGCTGATCCGAAGGGGGGGATTGGCCCCATCCCTGTGTCAGCAGGAGCTGGTCTGGAGGTTGGGCTCGTTGAGCAGGGAGGCGATGGAGGAGGGGCCGTAGGCGCTGTCGAACTCCTCGTCCGTCGAGCTCAGCTGCTCGTCCTGCAGCGACGACGAGTCGGCGGCCGCCGAGCGCGCGGCTCTGCGCCTGGGGGACACGGGAAATTTGGGCTCAGCCCTCCCTGCCACGGATCCAGGACCCCCTGTGACAGATCCAGAACCCCCTGTGACGGATCCAGGACCCCCTGTGACGGATCCAGGACCCCTGTGACAGATCCAGGACTCCCCGTGATGGATCCAGGACCCCTGTGATGGATCCAGGACCCCCTGGATGGATCCAGGACCCCTGTGATGGATCCAGGACCCCCTGGATGGATCCAGGACCCCTGTGATGGATCATTTCCCCCTGGATGGATCCAGGACCCCCCGTGATGGATCCAGGACCCCCCGTGATGGATCCAGGACCCCTGTGATGGATCC